AACATTCAAGGCCAGGTTGGATGGGGCTCTGAGCAACCTGACCTGGTTAGCGGTGTCCCTGCTCCTGCAGGGGGGTTGGACTGGGTGACCTCTAGGGGTCCCTTCCCACCCAAAACATTCTATGATTCTATGGCAAGGCTTGGAAGGGACCTTGAGAGATCATCCAGTCCAACCCTCCTGCTAAAGCAGGGTCACCTGTCATTCACCGAATGATGTGGTGTTCCGTTCTCTGGATTGCCCATCGCCGTAAGAATGGGTCACACTAGGCCTGGGGAAGAAGAATACCATAGCGGAGCCAGCATTGGCAGTACTTCTCAAAGGTGCTCCAACAGTCTGGTGTGATTTATGTCCGAGGGGCTTTGAATCTCTCCTTGGTTTGGTGTGTTTTGTTGGTTTTTTGAGGTTTTTTTTCCTTTTGTGAACGTGGCTTTGCGAAGTGTAAACGTCTGGTGTTCACAGCACCACAGGGCAGAGTCCTGTAGTTTCACTGTGCAAGGCTGTGACTCTTCACACAGCGTATTCTGTGTCTGTTTTGTTTTGTTTCTTTAAAATCTATTACCAGTTCTTTCGTATGGTGCCCCCCAGATGGTGTTTGGCAGAGTCTGCAGATAACGTTACCTTTGCACCTGCTTCAGGCTGCTTAGGGTTGCATAGGCTTTGATCTCTTCCCCTTCGGTCATGGCTCACCCTCCCACTGTAGTGAGGAGTCTAATTTATCCAGTTGTTTATTGCAGAAAACACTTTCTGGGTCTTCCCCTCTGCTTGTTACTCTTCTCTGTAACTCTTCTTGTTTTCCTGGGTCCTTTCATAAAGGTATCGCGAACACACAACGCCCAGAAGTTTGTATTCGGAAGGTGACGAGCGAGACATGCATCATGGTTCCGGGGGGAAACAGCGGGTCAGCTAATGTCAAGCTGTATTCTGACACCTTAGACTGGTTTCTGACCATTTCCACCCCAGCCAGCACAGGGATATCCTGGTGGATTTCATCCCAATGAATGAGAAACATCTGGGCTGCTTTAGCTGTCCTAAAAAGTGTACATAGCCATTTCTTACTGTCATTACCCCTTGACGTTCTGTTCAGAAACCTTATTAACAATATCTTCGTGCTTTTGCGTTTTTAATTTTTAGAGGACTAATACTCACCTCTCTCGCTTTGTTTTTATCTTTCAGAAAATCACCAACCGTGTCTTAGGGAGGAAGGTGCCTTGGAACTGATAGAGATCGCCTGGTCGCACAAAGGTGTATTGCACTTGCAGCATAAACAAGACTGATGTGGAAAAGATAACACAGTAAATACTTGTGCAGTGTATGTTCTGTGGTGTTCACTTGTGTCACTTGTGTACTGATGTAATCCTGCCGTATTTAAGGCTCAATGATTGGATAGGAATGACAGGTTTTTAAATAAATGGCTGGGTTTTTGTAGTGGTGGTGTGCGCTTCCAGAGTAAACACAGTTTGGAAGTACTTGGTTCGTAACATATTTATAACTACCTGATTGGTATAGCAGTTTTATATATTTATTTTAAATTGGTTTTAACAATGATTTTTATTTTTTTATTTCCTGTCTCAATGTAGAAAACTTCCCTGTAATGTTTTGTACTGCAAAAACCCCTTAAATAAATAACATGAAATCAGTTTGTAGTAACTGTTGCAGCAATCACAAAATGAGTCTTCCCTGTCTGTATGGACAACATCTGAAGAAACCGGGCTGTAATCGTCCTGTCCTCCACCCGACACAGAACTGAAGGGCTTGCAAGGTAACAGTAATGGCTCTTTAAATGGGATCGGTTATTAGCACTGAAAGAGTGGAGGAGTCCTGACTTCACCGACCTTTCGCTGGGCTTGCTATCTTTCTGTATGAACCAGCAGAGTCTAATCGGAGATAAATTTTATGATGCTGGGAATTTTTAAGCCTTGCCTGGGAGAGTCCCCTTCACTTGATGAGATGCTTGCATTCTGACAGGGTACTCGGTGGGACGCTTAACTAGCATCACAGTGGCAGAAGGTGAAGTACAAATACTGTAGTTCTTGATGATCGAAGCCTGAAGTGTCAGTTTTATTTGCTCATTAGAGTAGAGTTCGTATGATGTATAAACAGGAAAAGACATCTGAGGAAAACTGAGTGGGTGTGAACAGTGGTTTCCTATTTCCTGTATTTAAGATGTTCATAGCAACCTAATTCAAGGAACAGCTGTAATGGGACACGCAATTCTGCAGAGGGTGAGGCACAACTCGGAGATTTTGACCTCTTGTATTCACTAAGAATTTCACAGAACTTCTTGTTTCACCCCTTGGCTAAGCCATCCAGCAGCGGCTATGGTCCAGCTCTGCCAGTTACACCTGGAGTTCATGTTGGGATGTAGTGAATCAAATCTTCAAATGATAAGAAATAATGTGATTCCCTTGAAGGTCAGTCAAACTCCACTAAATTGCACTGGACCAAGATTTGGCGATTTCACACTGGGTCCTGTGCCGGCGACTCCACTAAATTGCACTGGACCAAGATTTGGCGTCGTATTTTTCACACTGGGTCCTGTGCCGGCACATGCTGTGAAAGCAGCTGTTCTGTCCTACCTCAGAGCTGGAGGGAAATAAAGTGTGAGAATGTACCCGGGTGTAAGATTTGTAATTTTAACTGGAGGTACTCTTCTTATCAGAGTAGTATGCAAAAAACCCAACCACCACAAACCCATCATCTAATATGTCGCAAGGCCGTATCTGGTCTGGTCTCAGAAATCTGAAGTGAAAAGCACAGGTTAAAAATAATACGGTGTCACGTAGCTGCGATAAATCAGCTCAGAGGATGACTTATCTCTTTAGACCTTTCTCAAAATCTGTTTTTACCTCTTTGCTCCTTCCACTATCTCATCCTTGGGATCAGTTTGGGTGCAAGTTGCTGCCTTGCCTTTTCAAAGTGCTGTTCTGGGGCTAGAAGGCAGCTCTGTGCGTTGCTGAAGCAGAAGGTGCTAAAACTTGCTGGTACTGAGATTGCTCCTGCGGTTCTCTGGTACACATCTGAATAGACTTTTTCCTTGCGACAAGGGATCCGGTTGTGTTGGAGGCACGACAAGATCTTGCCTCACTGGGTGCTCATTTAAAGCCAGTCAGCTTCTTGAAAAATAATGCTTTTAAGCTTTCAACTGATGAAAAACCAAGAGAGCTTAAGGGCCCTGCTGGTGCCTCAGGGGGTGCTTGGAAGTCTGCTTACAGTCAGATAACACAGCTGATGGTTGTTTTTACTTAAATGTCACGTGCCTGTGCTGTTGATCCCTAACAAAAGCCTAGATGCCAATAATCAAGCACATTGCAAATGGAAGAGAAGTCGAGGCAGTCTGTTTCAACCCATCCTCATCGCAGTAGAGAACTACGGGTTGTAAAACCAACCGTTCAAAACAAAGGAAAAGCTGCTGCAAGGGTTTTTTTTTCATGTTTTACCTTGCTAACTACCAAAGCAATCTAACAGTCGATGTCAGCCTGTGAGTTAAGAGTTGCAGCCTGAGACATTTAGCGACAAGTAGCTGTGATTCCTCATTTGGTAATAATATTGTAGGGTTTTTCCTATGCTAAGGGAGAAGTGTTTGCTTCTGTTTAAAAAATTTTCTCTTCAGGCATGCTTTAGTATATCAGAATGTGTGACCTGAAGGCTCTGCTTGGATGTTTTACGCTGGTCTTGGGCCGCACAAAGAGTTTACACTCTGCTTTCTGAAATATTGTAAAGCAAACATTCTCTTTGCTTTGCACATGGGGCGGGGTAAGGAAGTTTTTTAGAGGAACAGTATGAGATTGTTTGACTTTTCTCCCCAGAGGTGTGAGCACCTGCAATTCCAGATGAAATTGGGGAGGAGCTGCAACTTCTCAGAACTTCTGAAAATTAGGTCCCGCGTGGCCAGGTTTAAAGGAGGCAGGTCTCCTCCTCAGCCCTGTGCTCTGACAGCGTTAGCGTCCATCCTTCTCTTGATTTCCTCATGAGGGCTGCTGGTGAAGCTGACTCACACCCATTCCGCGACCCTTCCTTGTTGTCATCAGGTCAGACGAAGCTCGTGCAGGGTGCAAACCATCCAGTGTTTATAGTTCCATGGAAGGAGGCTGTTGACATTTGGAGTCTTTGGTTCCAACAAGCAAAGCTTCTTTCCAAAAACTCAGGAAATTATGCTTGTCATGTTTTGATTCCAGAGTGGAGTCATTTCTTCTTAATCCACTGCTACACAAAGACTTTTAGGGTAAGTTCTGCAAATCTTTGGTAGTTTAAAGAAGGTAGAACTATTTTTTTTTTTTTTTTTAACCCTTAGGGAGCAGGCTTTTGTATTAGTTAATCAGAAATGTTCTTTGCTCAGCATTTGCTGCACTCACCCTGCACGTAGCTGCTATCTCAGACACTGAGAAAGGGCAGCTGGGTTGTCTGTTGAGTTGTCTCCGGAAACCGAAAGCAGCTTTGATCGTTGATGATGAACGAGGTAGAAATGAACAAATAAATACAATAACTGCTCTCTGGCTTTGGATGTGCTGTCTACAGGCTGAGCTTGAAGTGGGAAGCGTGAGGGATGGATGTGCAGGTGAGGTGGACAAGGTGAGGGAACAGCAGAGAAGAGGGGTGTAAAAAAGCCACTTTATGCTTTGAAAGGTTCCTTATTTTAAAGAGGCTTGTTTGCCCTTCACAAACACCTTCCATTTCCTCTTTCATGATAGTTTCCACTCATTCTGCCTTTCGTATTCCATCCTGATGGACCTTTTACAATAACGTGCCAAGTCCTTTGGTTCTCGGTGGATGGTTTTGGAGTCCTTTCTGTGGAGAACCAGTCTGAAGTTAAGAGGTGTGCTGCATCAGGCAGTGGTGGGGGAAGGTGCAAGGAGCTTGAACAGATGTTGTCTGGGATGTGTTCTCTCATTGCTGGTAACTAGAAAGATTGCCATGGAAACCAATTGCAAGGATGATGTAAGAGAAGAGTTGACGTACATGGCTTCCTTGGAGAAGGAAGTCCCCCCAGGCTATAGTTGTGTTACTGTACGTCTGCCTAGATATGGCCTGGTCCAGGATGGTTGACTGGAGGACTGCTTCCCTGGAGGAATTTGTCGGTGGTAAATTTGTCAGTGGTTGTACCCGTAGGAGAACACAACTGAACGACTCTGAGGAGGGGGAGACTGAAGTAGGAGATTTGCCCCATGCAAAAGGCAGGTAAGCTAATCACTTCCGCTTATCCATGACAGCATCCTGGTTTATAATTCCCGTTTCCTGAAACAGTACCCTAATGAAGAAATTACTTCCTGGCTGGCTGGTCATTAGCCCAGATCAAACTCTAATCCAGTAAAGAAGATCTTAATATATTGCTTCCTTTATGCTGCATTTATGAGTTGGCCAGCTGGGCGGCTGTACTTCTGTAAAGCTTAAAAGTGTAACATGAAGTCATTGGCCATGCTCGTCGTGGGCTCGGGGAAGGAATTCAGCTGTAAATGGCAAAGACTCCATTCTTTCACACAAGCAAGGTTTGAAAGTCAAACTTTTATTAATATTTTTCTCCCTACATCAGCAGATAAATTGAATTCTCCAGGCCCAATTAGACCCTGCGGGAGGGTGAATGGCCTCCGCATGACAAATGAAAGCCATGTTGATGAATACACTTCTGGAAGGCACTCAAATTCCACGGTGATGAGGACAGTTGTAAGAGGTCTTGATAGGGGCGAAGGTTGTTTTTGGTTTGTTTTTAATACGATCTAATTTTATTCATCTACCCATGTGCTGCAGCCCTGTCGCTTTCTAGTTTTATCAGAAGCTCCTTCAAACTTGGCTTCATGATGCAAAAGAGAGACTCCAGCTCGCTTTCCCAAAGTTCTCTTGGCTCTCCTACCCGAGTTGAATTCGGTATGTCCCGCGCATCTCTCTGCTGTAGGGGGCCTGCTGCTGGCCTCTGCCAAGTCTGGTTGAGTCATCTGCTGAGCAGCCAGCCCTGGCCTTCCCCTGGAGAAGAGTAAGTCTCTTGGACTCCGAGACTCACCCGTTGGATCCGGAGGACGTAGCGTGGCCAGCTGCACTGCGTGGCCTCCTGAATGCCCGTGCACGAAGAGTTGAGTTCCTGTGGCACTGTGTGCAGATTTCATGGGATTTCATTTTCATCCATGGCGTTTTCAGGGGAGATTTATGTGACTTTGGGTCTAAGGAAAATTTTTTTTTTTTGTCTATCAACGCAAAGGTTTTTATGAATGGCGTAGAGCTGTTTTGTGCCGTTACAACTGTCCTTTGTCCTTTGCAGAAGGACCCGTAACAGGCTTAAGACCACTTGT